CCCCTTTCCCCCCTGCTCCCCGTCCCCTCCCAAGCTGCCTTTTTCCCCCTCCATGTCCCACTTCCGCTTGCCTCTCTTTCTCCGCTCCCTTCCATCGCCCCCGCCCGCCTTCTTTGTCCCCCCCCTACCCGTACGCCTGTTTCTATGAAAAAAGAAAAAACAGTGGTCCGCCCCGCGTTTCTCGCCGTCCATCCTCCCCTATCGGTCCTCTCCCCACCGCTCTTCTAAACCCCCCCGTTCCACGTTCGTCCCCTCCCCTTCCGCCTTCAGAAAGGAAAAACCCTCGGCCCCTTTTGCCCCCCTCCATCCCCCTCCTCCGCTCCCCTCCCCCTCCGCTCCCCTCCTTCCCACCCTCTTCTGTCGCCCTCCATCCCATCCCCCCGTTCAGCTCTCTTCAGAAAAAAAAAGAGAGAAAAGAAGATAAGAATCGCCCCCCTCCATCCCCCCTTTCCGTCGCCCCCTTTCCCCTCCCCTTTCCCCCCTTTCCGTCGCCCCCCTCCATGCCCCACTTCCGCTCCTCTTTTTCTCCGCTCCCTTCCATCGCCCCCGTCCGCCTTCTTTGGCCCCCCCCTACCCGTACGCCTGTTTCTATGGAAAAAAAAAACAGCGGTCAGCCCCGCGTTTCTTGCCGTCCATCCTCCCCTTCCCGTCCTCTTCTCCCCCCCCCTCCGCGTTCTTCCCCCCCCTCCTCCGTTCCCCTCCCCCTCTGCCTTTAAAATAAATGAAGGAAAAAAGAAACTATTGGCTTCCAAGTTTTTCCCAACGCCATCCCCTGCCACTCAGTCGATCAACCAATCAATTAATGAATCAATCAATAAATCTCTCTCTCTCTCTCTCTCTCTCTCTCTCTCTCTCTCTCTCTCTCTCTCTCTCTCTCTTTTGCGCGCGCGCGCGGGGGGAAGCGTGATCGCCCAAACGAAATGTGCTGTTTACGTAGATTCTGAAAAGAACAAACCAAGGAATCCAGTCTCTAGGACGGGCGGAAAGAATGGAGGAAGGAGGCACGGAGAAAGAGGACGGGAGGCATGGGGGACAACCGAGGGATAGGGGGGAGGGAAGGCGGGAAGAGGTAGGAAGGAGGGAGGAAGCAGGGATGGAGGAAGGACAGAAGGCCAAGGTCTGAGAGAGGAAATACCGGGTTTGAGAGAAGCACCGAGGCATGAATGGGGGGAAGGAGGAGGAGGTGAGGCTGCTTCTGGTGACTCTCTCTCTCTCTCTCTCTCTCTCTCTCTCTCTCTCTCTCTCTCTCTCTCTCATGCGCGCGCGGGGGGGGATCGCGGCACTCCGCCCATTCGAAAACAAAGGCCGAGGGAGGATGAACGGCCATGGAAAGAGGGACGGAGGGAGGGAGGGTCGAGGGGGACCGGCGAAAGGAGGACGGAGGGAGGGAGAAGTGATGGCCGAGGGAAGGAAGGAGGGAGGTAAGAGTGAGAGCCAAACGAAAGGAAGGAGGGAGATAGAAGTGAGGGCCGAGGGAGGGAGAGAGTGAGGGAGAAGTGAGGGGCGAGGGAAGGAAGCAGGGACGGAGAATTGAGGGCCCAAGGAAGGCGGGAGGGAGAAGTGAGGGCCGATGGAAGGAAGGTGGGAAACGAGAGGGCCGACGGAGGGGAGGAGGGAGGCAGAAGTGAGGGCCGAGGGAGGAGGAATGTCCGAGAAAGGAGCGAGAGAGGAGAGAGGGCTGAGGGCCGAGGGAGGGAGGGAGGAGGTCAGGCGGAGGTCGAGAGTAGAATGGAAGTGGAGGGAAGCGGGAGAGCGGACGGACGGCAGAGAGAAGATGGAGGTGAGGCGGAGATCAGGTGCAGGTCGGGCGGACGGAAGAAGGTGAGACGCCAAGGGAGGGAGGTAAGAGAAATGGAGACTCACTTGAGTGCACCATGCCAACGAAGCCTCCAGCCGACAACGATCAACCAACAACGCGCAAGCCTTCGGTCACGATGTAGCCTAGCCGTCCTAGTTCCACAGAAGTGGACAACGGCTCAAGCCCACATTGCAGTGAGCCACGTGGAAGTTCACGTGGCACGCAGGACAATCCACGTAGCATCAACCTCACAAACCACGTAGCGCCAAGCGCACGAATCACCAAGCTCACGAACCACGCAGCACCAAGCTCACATAGCACCAAATAGCACCAAATAGCACCAAAGCCCGAAGCACCTAGCACCGAGGGGGAGAGAGAAAAGAAGGGGAGGAAGGGGGGGGGGGAGAGAGAGGAGTACCACCAAAGCCCAAAGCACGTAGCACCACGAGAGAGAGAGAGAGAGAGAGAGAGAGAGAGAGAGAGCAAAGCCCGAAGGTGGTAATACCGGAAATGGATCGAGGCCGGGGACTTGTCAATTCAACCCGGAGTTATCCTGGGGCTATTACCCAGTTTAGGCTCTACTGAAAACTGGGTTCAGGGAGGACCAAACGAAAAGATGGATGGTGGGGGCCTCGCGCGCTACCGGCGCCCGGTTAGCGCTTCGCGGACTATGCGCTAATTTGGGCAGACCGAAGATGAGGTCGACCTGGCGCGACGACCTCTGACTTTGTGAAGAAATCGGGGCGATGGTGCCGGCCTGATCCTCGGTTAACCCTAATTAGTGTCATTCCGACGAGTGCTTGACGGCGTGGGGAATGGTGTCTGCGAGGAGTGCGAGAAGGAGCGGTCCCTACAGTTGGTGTGTTGGCTTCGTCCGCCCTGCCGGGAGTCCGGAACGCCTTGGTAGAAGCAGGTCTCACCCAACCCTCTCCTTGAGTGGGGAGGGGAGTGTTATTCACTCAGGGGAGCCCTGCCCGTCAGCCCCTTCAACATCACGAACAGCCCTGAGACTCAATTACTGTAACGGGGTCATGGCATCAAGGAGCCGCCCGCTCTTAGCTGTTGGCTAAAGAGCAGGGCTCCTTTTTTACTCGGACGCGCCTGCAGACAGCTTCGAAGTACGGGGAAGGATTCCTTCAGGGAGACGACAAGCCTTGCTGAGTGATTGCAATCAAGGTCATGGTTCCTGTTCGACGGGGGAGGAAGTGATAATTGGTGAAGGAGATTGGTAAGACCGGCTGATCCTCGCTGCAGCCTGGGAGGTAATCTCTGTCCCACATATATTTATACTTTGGGGATAGGGTTACAAGACCAAGGGAAGGTAGGTATTTAACGCTGACAAAGTTTTAATTAATGTCCCAATTATCCCCTCGTATGGTTGTGTTGGAAGTCCTTCGAACACGTCAGCGGAAGCGAAGATATAGTCGGTCTTGCTTGGCAGCCCTCCTTGGGAAGGGAACATGCCTCATTAAGCTCATTTCTCCCACCAATTGATTTCTTAGGTGTCGTTGTCCAGGGAATCTATCCACCTCTTTGACGAATGGGATAAAAAGCCTAGGCGGTAACACGACCTTGATTTAATTTCGGGAAAGAGCTTGGTAATCCCTGATAACCTAGCCTCGTTGTTATCGCAATACGGGTTGTTTCCTCCGGGTTTTTGTATTCACATGCGTTGTGTGAACGAAAGTGGCGGTGTTTGCAAGCTAGTTCCATCTGCTTAGGACGAAGATATAAGGGGAATTGTGAGTAGTGTGGCCTTAGGTGTTCGAGGGGACTTCGACTTTCCTTTTGGACTGTGTATTGTAAGCGTTGTTACTGTAGCGGACCCACCAGGTGTGGTGCTCCGCTAGTGACAGAGATGGAGATGGAGGAAGAAGGGGGAGCAAGATGGCACAACGCAGCTCCCCACGCAAGACTCCAACGCACGTACTCCAAAATGTGCAAGTGAGGAATGAGACTGAAAACAGACAATGGCTGGGGTATACCCCAGCAGACTGACGGGACTGGACTGGACTAGCTGGTACCGACAGAGGTACCAGCCTGGACTGGCCTACCCCGAATATAACACAGGCCTGTGAGAACAGGCCAAGGGGCTGGTCTTACAGGCCAACCCGAGGTCCGCTACACGATCCTCGGCCTGTGATGGATCGCCTAGATACAAACATGCTTCCGCCAAGAAGCGGAACTCTACCAAAGAAAAGAAAACCTGAGTAGTCTAGGATGCGGAGCAAGCTCCATGCTGAGTCCATGCGATGCAACCTAGGATATAAAATGTCACAAAACAGCAATGTCACAGCTAACAGCCTAAGTGAAAGTAGGAGCAACTAACTAACATACATGTCCTAGGAAAGCAAAAAGTAGTGACAACTAGATCCTAGAATGTTGGAGACACTAACCTCAGTCTGGTAACAACTGACTAGTGTATAAGTCCTAAGAACAGCAAAAGCAGAACAGCTAAATCCTAGAAACGTCGGAGGTAGTAACCTCAGTCTGAGAGCAACAAAGCAATCAACAAGACAACCATATGTCACATGAGAAGTGTGTCGCACACCAAAGGGTGGGATGGTCTCTGAGGG